GGCCGTCCCCGCGGTGTCGCGGCGGCGCGGGCGGACGCTGCTCGTGCGGCACCTGCCCGCCGAGCTGGCGGCGGCCGAGAAGGAGGATCTGCTGCGGCACTTCGGCGCCGTGGCCGTGCGCGTCCTCTCCGACCACGGGCGGCTGGTGAGGGCCGGGGCGGGCGCGGCGGCGAGCGGGGCCGGCCCCGACCCCGCCGCCTGCGGGGAAGCGGGTTTGGAGGCCCCACTGGGAAAACACCGGTGCTCCCTCGTTATCATCCCCACGAAACCCCTTTTTTTGCTGCTTCTTCCACCATATAGAAGCTCAGATTGACAAAAAGATTGTTTTTATGTTTGTTTTATAGAAACATACCGCTTTTGCGACGTTCCCCAGCGAGAATGCGGCTGCCAAGGTTGGTGTCAAGTGTGTGATGGAGCACTTTTGTCAAGGAGTTCTCCAAATCGCCCCTTTTGCTCTGTTTTCTTTTTTTTTCTACAGCTTTTACTGCCAAGTGTGCAGGAATATCACGGTTCCATATCTGTAGGTGCATGATAGATTTGTTAGAAACAAGTATTTTTATACACAGCTTGAAAATATAGGTTGCATAGGACTTCCTTAAGTCACACCCGGTCTAACCTGTCACTCAGAGCAAGGCCAAATGAGATGAAGTTGCTCAGGATCTTGTCTAAGGGGAAATGTGCCCATTTGTGTAAAAACACGCTTGATACGGCAAACAAAACCTAACTGTTTCCTCCTACATAGTCATATATTCGTTATGAAATTAAGGTGTAGTGATGTAGGCAGTTCCAAGACTGCCTTGCATGCCAGGTGTTAGAACAAGGAAAGTATCATTAATGGGACACGTGCATACAAGAAAGGTTATATTAGTACCTATTTTTTTAAATAGTACTGATTAAAAGCCATTGTCCCTAATTCTAGTCCTATGTGCCCTTTTTTTTCAGGCCCTGTTGTAGTATAGTGTTCAAATAAATACAAAAAAAGCATGATGTGAGCAAGGGTGGACTTGGGTTGCTTTGTGTCATCAGCAGCAGCCTGTCCTGGTTTCCAGGACAGGCTTTCCATCTTGCAGGACGCTAGGCTTTCCTGGTTAAATATTCTAGGAATCTTGATTTTTAGGTGCCCAGATATTAGACTGTTAGACTTTAGTATGTTTAGTATGTTGTAGTTTGCAAGAAAGAGGTTTGTTACTTGAAATCACAGATGTTTACGAAACCATTAAACAGAAATGATAGGTAAGGTTGCTGAACACAACCGTGCTCAGGTGATACAGTTCTGTGTAATTCTTCTAGCTGTGCAATGTGCAATTTCTTTTCCAGGAAAGAGGTGGCCAAAAACAGGGCCATGGAGGTGGGCACTGTGCAGGACTGCCTCTGTAATGGCACAGATCTAGCTTAAAGCAGCCTCTTCGAAGCAAACAAGAATGGTTGCTCTTTGAAATACATTCTAATATTTTCCCTCCTCTTTTTCTTTTTCCATGTTTATTTATGAAGGCCTTGTCAAGACTGCATCAGCTGAAACTTTTAGGTCACACTTTAGTTGTTGAATTTGCAAAGGAGCAGGACAGCATGCAGGTACTAAGCCAGCCTTCCCCCTCAGAGAAAAGGTATGTAGGTAATAATTTAGTTTCCATGTTTGTGATCAAAGAAGTGGATTTTTTTTACTCTAAATGCTTTCACAGTACTATTTAGTCAAAGGATAAACCATATAACTGTTTAAAAGCATAACCAGACAGGTTCAGTTCTATAGATAAGTGCTCTTCTGATGCCTTTTACCTATCTAGTCAATGGCAAACAAATGTTATAAATTTGTTTTTTAAAGTTTGAACCTAGGAAGAGAAATATACTTCATATGTTGTGAAGCATTTACATTTTGCCCTGCTTTAACTAATACCAAATTATCTTTCAGCTCAGAGGAGCCAGTAAAGGAAGAAGAGAAGAAAGAATCAAGCTGTCTCAAAATCGACGATGGAATTGCTCCCAGTCATGGGTTAGTAATTCTTTTCTTGCATAGCTATTTTATTTTGCTAATTTCAAAACATCTGTATTGTTGAACATGAGATAATGCAGTAGTTCTGTTCTATAGTATGATGCTGCTCTATATGTGTAGGTGTATTAGAAGTGAAATTCATTGCTCATCAATTTCAGACCTTGAGGTTAAGCAAGGACAGGCATGAAGCTGGGGGCTGCATAATATCCTTGTAGTGCCATTTGTTGCTTGTTCAGGAGGAATTGGAGGGCTGGGGGGATTGTCTGAGTGTTAACAGCAGATTACTCTTGTTTTTTTTCAGACGCTTCTTATTCCTTGTTTTTCTGTTTGCCTGTGTGAAGAATATTTTGGGACATAGCATGGAAATCCAGTGTTTTATGAGACTGTTGGGTTGGTTTGTGGTGGCTGTGCAGCATGGCTGTGCTGTAGGCCTGTGACATGTAGGTTCTCACCTGTGTGCTTTAAATTCCTGCATGTGTTAGTACCTGCATTTTGCCCAAATCCAGTAGATCTGTAATGTATAAGGGACTGATTACCCCCTAATGCAGAAGACATAAATGTGAGAAGCCCAGTCACGTAAAATTATCACTGTACTAGAAAAAATGGGGATATTTCAGTGATATTTTGCAGGGGTGATGCATTTTTATATCTCTAAAATTCATTGTTACCAGTTATCACATGATAATGGAGCTAAGATTCCTTGTCCTTGATTTTTTTTTCCTCAGCCTCACCTTTCCCATCAATTCTTGCCTCAAATATTTGTATCCACCACCTTCAAGTACAATTCTAACAAATATAGCAAATGCTTTGGCAAGCGTGCCCAAGTTCTATGTACAGGTAAGTAAAGCATCAAAAACGAAAGTATAAAAATAAAAATCTCTCCTTTCTCTGTGTTTTTAATATTTATTTAATGACACAGATTATTTCTGTTAATAATTAAGTTAGCTTTCCTGTGATAGTTCTAACCAATGCTAATTCTTTACTGTGCTAAGACTCTATTGACCAGTATAACTGTTCAATCACTGGTACAGACTGGAAACTGGAGAAAAGGATCTCCATAATTAGATTTTAGTTGGATACTTCTGTAATTTAGTTCAGAGAAGACCTTTTATGTGCTCTTTGCTTAGTCTTTCAGATGTCACTTGTTTTTACTGCTAATGTTGGCTTACATTGGCTTTTAGTGTAGGCTTTTACATTGGTTTAAAGCAACGCACTTGTGTCCTCTTTAAAAGTATGTTGATTTACCCTTGTCAAAAGCTGGCAAGTAACTTTTCCTTTGTTAAAGGAAGTAATGCTTAACTTGAATTATTTCAGGTACTTCATCTTATGAATAAAATGAATCTTCCTCCACCTTTTGGACCAATTACCGCTCGCCCTCCCATGGTAACTTTTTAAATGTTTTTTTTTATAGTAGTTAAAATAAATACTCACATTTTAAAATATAAGAAACACAATAGAAGATCTAAGTTTAAAACTGCATAAGTTGAAGAATATGTAAAACTCAGCAGGTGTATGCTAGCTTTTATTGGATAAGATGTGCATGCTCATTTTCGAAAGACATCGTTTTAGTTGTGTTTAAAGAAATATTCCCCTCTGAGAGTAGAACTACATATTTCAAAGTGTTGAGTATAAAAATGGAAGGTTGTAGAAACATTTATAGCATTATAGAGGAGATGAAATAGAATACCACTAGCCTGATTCCTTATGGAGCGTGTAAAGTTCTCTGATCTGTGTGTTTCTTGGGAGTCCTAGTAAGGTTCATACTGCTAATGCGATTATGCAGAGCTTTGGGATTTAATTTGCTCCATCTCCAGGATTTTATCTTTATTTATTCGAAGGGGGCAGGTGTAAGGGAGAACTGGCAGAGGTTTAGGAGGAGCTATTTCTGTATTGGTCTGAAGGAATCTTGAAGTATCAGCTCCCTGGACTCAGTTCTCTGTTATCCCCGAAAGAGCAGTTTAACTGATTGCAAGGGGGAAATAGAGCAAGAAAGAATGTTCTGTAGTTGTTGTTGTTGCTGGAATTGGATGTAAGAAATGGATGTAGGAAATCTGGGTTCCGTTACACCTTGTGATTACCCTAATAAAAAGCACATGTTTCTAATGACAAAAGTTTGTAAAGTAGCTCATAATGAAATCTATAAAATAGATTCATCACATTAAAAATTTCACATTGATTTTCTGGGAATTACATTGATGATTGAACTTCTGCACTAAGTTAAATGATGTGAACGTTATGTTCATACAGAAATGAGTAATAAAATGAGAAGCCAGTCGTTAAAAATCCTAGACCAGCTTTTTTTTTATATATATATATAGCATTTTAAATGCCTAAAGATACCAGTACTTTGTGAAATTAATGATACATGCAAGTAGATAATTCAGTATAGATAGTACATGCAAGTAGATATTCTGTAATGTAGATTGTTAGTATAGTTGGAGGTTTTTGTAGATTGGGGATTTTTTATAATATTTGGTTTCTGTGATTTTGTTAGTGTTTTTATTTTAGCTCCTTGAAAGAGTAACTCTTTAAGGATAAAAACATTCACTGTAACACTTCAGAAAGCAGCAGATACTAAGTTTTCATTAGCAGTTTATCAACACAGCAGATATATTGCTATTAACACGCTTTAAAAAGCTACTCTTTGTCATCTTCTAGCGTCTTATCTTCACAATTTTTATTACATGAGATTTGTAGTAGTCTCCAAAATTACAAAAGTCTTTTTCTTCCTCCTAATTAGTATGAAGAGTATTTACCAGTGCCTGTGCCGCCTCCTCCAATACCACCTTTGCCCCCCGAGGAGCCGCCTTTGCCCGAAGAGGAAGAAGAGCAAGGATCTAGCGGAGAGGAATCAGAATATGAAAGTGATAGTGAGGAAAAAGAGAGGTGCTTTTTTTTTTTCCATTACTGTAATTATTATTTGCCAGCCGTTCACTCCTTTAAGGCTGTGTTTTCATTCCAGTTTTGGCAATGGTGGAACTGCTTCTCATTTTCAGTATATAATTAGTCTCTCCAGACTCTTAAAGAAGCTTCAGGGTGTCTTAGAAATGTAAAAAGTCAATGTTATAGACCTCAGTAAGGGAAAGAAAATGTTCAAAGAGCACCAAAACCTACCATCTCTTTCTGTTTGAAGAAAGAAATAAATTCAGAACGAAGCTGGAGTGGTCGAAGTAATAATCAGATTGTTTTCTAGATTTAATTTGGTTTTCCATGTTGTTGCTTGACTGGGTAGCCTGTGACTTTCAAGCTAAGCAATATGTGCATATTCTTCCAAAATGTTCTTTCTATATCAATATGTAATGTAGTAATAAGAATGAGTGGTTGTACCTTCTGAGGATTTGCCAAAGATTTTGGGGATGCTCCATGTACTGAATTACATTGGAGCTGATTGTTCAGCTTTAAACTGGTACTAGATGAGGAAATAATTATTTTTAAATAATATTTAAACTGGAATGAAATGTAAATAGGACAATCTCAATGCTATATTTAGGAAAATGCATGCTTTAGGGGAAAAAAAAAGGGAGAGCGGAAATGGAAGTAGTATAAAAATTTAATTCAGTGTAAAACTGAATTCAGACTTCTTAACATTTTTCAGCCTGGGTGTCCTGATTAGGTATCTCCTGGAGAAAGAAAAGATATCACTGTAAATAGATATCACTTTAGATAAGATCACCTCAGAAAGATACCAGTTTAGGAGATTACAGTGGGCATTCTCAAGTAAGCTTTAAATTCACTTGGATTCTTTCTTTTGTGTTAATTGTTGTCTAAAACAGAATGACCAAGTTGATGGAATTAGCAACCATTCAGCCTAAAAGGCCGATAAGCACGAAGAGGCGTGGAGTTAGGAAAAAACAAAGAATTAAAGACCTGCTGAATGCTCCTGTGTGTGCTGCCCCCAGGTTTGTGGTGTTTGCATGGTGATTTCCCTTCTGGTTGCTCCTTGCACAGTATGACTTTCACTGCCTAGTGCTTTGGTGTTACATGTTTTTAATTACATATATTTAATTATATATTACATATATAATAATTACATGTATTTAATAAATATCTCTTTATTGGTATATCTTTTGCAGCAGGATTGGTCTCACTTAGCTACACATTTGGTTTCTACCTTTGCTCCTTAAGATCCCAATTTGCTTGTAAATGGATCTCAGATTTGCTAAACAGATAGCCTTAGCCTAATTCATGCTATAGCTTTCTCTTTCTGTCTGCCAAGCTAAGAACAATCATATTGCCCTAAAAATGTAGGAATCTACATTTATTGTTTAAGGTGGTTCTTTTGAAAATATTGAGAGGAAGAATAAAAAGTGGTGTGGTTTAAATCTTTTTGGTTTTCAAAGCAGCTATATACAGCACAATAGACACCAGTGTAGTATTTCTGTCTAGTGAGAATCAATTGCAAATGCATTTTTATAAATAGCTTTCCTTTTTCCTCTAACCAATTTTTTTGTTAAAAACAAGTCTAATTATACTCCATGAAAGCAGCAACAAAGCCAGTTATTTTTAGATTACTTATATTGTTAATGAAAAGCTTTTCTTAAGTTCCTGTGATATGGTATGTCCTTTTTCTGTATTCTTTTTTTTTAACTTGCCTTGCATCAGGCCAACCTGATGTATTTATAGTATTTTAAATATTCTCTATTAAAGTTGAACTGATTGTGAAATAGAAAACTCATGTTTAGTAAATAACAGCATAAAATATAAATGGAAGGAATGCTTATGTTTTGAGTATGTATTTGTCAGTGACTGATTCTAAGTTGTATTGACATGTTGTTGTTTTAAACAGTAATTTGCACCCTACACTGTCACCTTCAGATGTCTTTGAACAGCCTCAACCTGTAGGTCATAAAAAAATAGAATTTCATATTACCACTGACATCCCATCTGTTCTTCAGATAAATTCAGAAAGAGAAGAAAAAAATGGTGAGGGGTTTGTACTTCATATATATTTAATACTAACTTCGTGTGATTGCAGGTTGCAGAAGTCTGCTAAAGTTTTATCCAGGGATTTTTTTTTATTTATTCATTCTTTCGTACTGTCGATTTCATAAATAATATATGTCAGAGGTTTCTTCTTTTCTGCTTGCTTTTTTAAAGGTCACCAAATTGCATTTTTTCTGCTTTTCTTACTTTTCCTATGTTAAAGCCTAGAACTCTGTGCCTTCATGTAGTGTGTATCTTTATATCGAGGGTGGGGAGTGATTTAAAGGTTGGTCTGTATTATGAGCACTCTGCTTTTACAGTGAATTTCACATGCTTTTAAAAACTTCAGGCTGTTTTTAGCAAGCATGTTACAAGATCCTTCTCAGTGTTATGTGGTGTAATTGAATATACCAGGTAACTTTAGATGCTCCACTTCCAGCTCCAGGAGGGCAGCCCTCAAGTTGCTGCTTCCTTTCTGCTGATCATCAGCTTCATAAATGTTGGGCAGTAGTAGCAGTGAGGCTTGGTGGCTACTTGTTAGCTTTAGTCCTTTGTTTTTAAGTACTTTTGCAATAATGTAAAATTTCTTTGAATTAAAATATCAATGAAAGGAATCAATAAAATGTATGCAGCTTTGAAGAATAAGTCTAGTTTTATTTTAGCTGGCACATACCTTGGGTTTTTACCTGTAGTAAAGCTGATTTTACACAACCACATAAGCCCAGGATTGAAGACAGATTTTCCTAACGTTATATTCAGATTCTTTTAGGATGTTACTATATTCAAATGCTACTTCTGATTTTTAACAGTAAATGTATTTTAACTTGCAGTTGATATGGTTGTGAATTTCCATACAAACCTCTTTATATGATGTATTCACATTTTAGATCTTTGTGCAACCACAGAAGAAATCAATAATGCAGGATTTGGAAAGATTTTCCCTGCGCCTACCTCAAATGATAAAATGGAAACAGAAGAGGAGAATGATGAAATACCATCGGAATTCATTTCTAGAAGGGAACTAGAGAAAAACAGACTATCTAGAGAAGGTATAACTTTGAAAATAAATCCTGAATTAGTACCTCTTTGGTTTTTGTAGTAAATTTAAATATCTGATAAAGTAAAAAAGAAATGCTATATAAAATTTACTTATTTGTTTATATATTGAAAGTAAAAAAAAAAAATCCTTAAATGTGTTGTAATATTTAGAATGTCTGTTTTTCTATCTTTGTCTTGTTCAAGAAATGGAAAAATACTCTGTTTTCAAAAACTATGAGCCAGGGGATCCAAATTGCAGGATATATGTGAAGAATTTAGCTAAGCAAGTTCAAGAAAAGGTGGGTGAACAAACAAATTAAGTATGAGAAAGATTATGAAAAGATTTTTTTTTTTAATTAATTAAATTTCCTGTTATATCTGTCCTTTAATTCCAGGATCTCAAGTTCATTTTTGGAAGATATGTTGACTTTGAGTCTGAAATGGAACGAAATATGTAAGCTATTTCGATGCTTGATAAAATTAAATCTTTCTATTAACTTCTACAACTGTGGTGGAAACTGTGATTAAAGATTAGTAATCTTTTCTTGTTTTTTTTTTTTTTCTCTCTACTTCAGCACTTTTAAGGGGGAAAATGCTTCTCATCTGCAAATCTTTCTTTATCTGAAGTTCAAAAGTAGAATTATTTTTTGAACAGATTCAAAGACACAAATGTTATGCCTTTGTATTTTGACCACTGAAATATCTGTTTATTGGTGAGCAAAGCGGAATGTACACAGTGTAGATCATTGTGTGTATCTGATCATTTTGCATATGTTGTATTTACTGTAGTTGCACATCAGCTTGCCATCCTGCCATTTAATGTCAATTTTTACTAACTAGTTTACAAAATTTCTCCTGCAAATATCAAAGATTTCCAGTGACAGAATTCCTGATTGTAGGCACTCCTCTTTCTATTATTTCCCCAACTTTTAGCATGAGAATTATCTATGCTATGAAATGTGGAAGTGTGAATGTATGAATGTATGAAATGCAGGAACTCAAGTAATTCCTTATTCTCTTTTTTTTTTTTTCCAGGTTTGACATACGTTTGATGAAAGAAGGTCGTATGAAGGGACAGGCTTTCATCGGGCTACCTAATGAAAAAGCAGCTGCTAAAGCTTTAAAAGAAGCAAATGGATATGTGCTATTTGAAAAGCCCATGGTGGTTGTATCCTTTATTGAAAGATTTGCATTATATACATATGTGTGTATATATATATATATTATTTATTTGTGAGTCTCTAGCCTGTCACGTAGGGTTCTACTGCATTGGACATCTATAGAAAAAGAAGTTACAATTTAAGAACCCCAGGCAATATTGCTAATTTTTATGATAACTGACAAGTTATATAGAGGCCCTACCCCTTATGAAATAGAAAGATAGATGTGTTTTATTTAACACTTAATAAAATTGACTCTCTGTTGTTAGCTTCTTGATCCCTCAGAGATCCTGAACATAATTTAGCTTATATAACTACTCTTTAAGCAGGCTCTTATTCCCATGGCCTCCATTTCTTTCAAATTTATTTCTTCCTGCATACCTTCTGAGATAGCAGAAATCATGGAATTAATGTGCAGATATGGAGGTCTGTAAATAGCAGATATTTATCCTTTTGTTGTAGCTCTCTTTGCATCTTCCCATTTATCTACCTTGCTTAATAATCTGTGCTTTTGAACAGAAATTGTTAAATTATCTATCGAGATCCTAATCATTGCCTAGCAGGCACAACTGCAACTGTATTTAATGCTGTAGTAGTTTTGACCCTCGGGAGAATGAAGGGAACATTTTAAACTATCTGTAATTTACTAAAATACTGCTACTTTTCTGCTTCTTGATTGACTTCTCTTTGTTACCAGTGGTACTTGTAGTCCTTAACAGAATTTCAGCAATTTGCTCGTTCAGCTAGACCAAAACAGGATTCCAATGAAGGGAAAAGAAAAAAATAGAGCACTGCAAAAGGTAAGGATTACCTGCCAAAAAAAAAAAAATTAAAAAGAGAAAAAAAGAGAACGATGGAGACTGATTTTCTTTCTTTGTATGACTTGTTTTTTTTTAGCTGCTTTAGTGTGTCTTATATCAGAAAAACAGGTTGCAAGTTACATAGGCAGTAGAACTTTAAAATGTTGTGTCTTCCTTTCTCTAGAAAAGAGAGGCCCTGGTTTCCCAGGCCTCAAATCATAGGATTTTTTTGTCAAGTTTTCTAAATTGTTAACTAGGAGGTGAGGAGTTGGGAAAATATTTCTGCATAATCTGACCTCTTTGTGCTGTTGCAGCATCCTTTAAGATTGCCTGATTAGTAAAGGGTACTATATCAGAAACTTTTACTTTATATTAATTGAGACTTTATTTTCATGATACACTGTACAGATGCTGATCTTTTTTAGCTGTCTGCAGTGCTGACAAAGCAATCGTGGTTTCATTTTTTCTTATCATATATTTGACTTCACCACTGCCTTACCCTAGTGCGAGCCAGGTACTTAAAGTAATGTGAGTAAGATCAATTCTAAGTAAAGTGTGAGGAGACTCGTGAATCAAAACATTTGAGTAGTGAATTATTAAACGAGCACACAGAATAACTGATAGGAGAGTTAGAAGCCCTTAATTCTTGACCTCCACCCATTGATTTGAGCTCACTTAAAATGGCATTTAAGTGACTACAGATTTTGGCTGGGTGTCCCTGTACTTATCCCTCTACCCACTACTAATTGAACTCAATGCTAGACTTAGAGGCTTTCAAACATTCTATTTATTTTGCTGTGTTTTTTTGATTCTGCCTGTTTTGGTCACTTACTTTGGGAGAAAAACCCCAAAGCTTGAAATTAAGGTTATGAGTGACTGCTGCTGACTTGGAAAACTGTTTTGAAACTCCCAATGTTGTTATTTCCATGATTCCACTATTTCTGTTAAGAACGATTGCAATTGTAGGTTTCTCATTCTGTTGGTTGTCTGTGAATTTTTGGTTAGATTCCACTTAAGCCTGTGCTGTGTTTCACTCATTTCTGAGATGCACTTCAGCCTTACCAATTCTGATTCCTGCTTTGCCAAATCAGTATCTTGTTTTATAAAATCAAAGGCAATTTATTTGCAGGTATTCTTGTGTTTTGGTTGTTAAAAGGGAACAAATGTTGGCTAAAGTATTAAAAAGACAACAAGTGCTTAAATAAATGTTTTGATCCTGTTTCTAATGCATTCCTTGATAGAAAAAAAAAACCCTGAAAATCTTCACAAGGGTTATTCTTTATCTTTAATGATATATAAAATCTGATTCTGACTTCACTCAACGCGTTTTAAATAGTTTTTAAATTGCATAAAGTGAAGCAACCGGATGTTGATTTTGGCTAAGCATGTTGATGATCAAATTAGAAGTGTATTATTACAATGAGCAGGCATATTTAACAGCTATATATACATATAGAAGGTTACATGAAATAGCTCACTAACTGATTTAACTTCTTCCTTATTTTGACCGTTTGTATGTAAAGATAAGAGAATGTTCCTCAGATTAATACAGAATTCTGAGAATCTGTGAGTTTTAATTAAAAATGATGTTTTCACTTGCTGACTAATCATTAAGGTGACCTATTTCTATCCAAATGTTTTTTTCCTGTTCCTGATTTAAATCCTGGTAGATGCTGATTTGTGATGTAAAATTCTATGATAGACATCTGAGCCTGTAAGGGTGTTGGAATCTCACTTTAAAAAAAAAAAAAATATATATATATATATATATATAAAATTATTATCCATAAAGAGGAGGAAGCTGTGTTTAATTCATAAACACTATTGCAAACATGATTTTCTCCTTTATATAGAATATAATCTGCAGGCTTTATTTAAAAGAAAACAAAGCTTTGTTACTCCTTTGTGACTGAAATACCTTTTTCTTGATGGATCCATAAACATTTATGGTGGTATTTGGGATAATTATATTTTTCTGTAGCTAAAACATTAGCTTTGGGGGAGAAGGGAAATGTAGAAGCTGATCCCGAGAGGTCACCAGCTTCTTTGTAGGGAAGAAGTGACCTGGCAGACTGCATTGAATGGAAACATGATTTGGTTTTGGACCAGATGGAAAAAGTGAGTCTGTAAAATGTGGAAGACCAAAAGAGAGTCAATGACACAGAAAATTCTGGTATTGTCTTTAACAATTCAAGTTTTCAAAAAATATATTTCGGAACACGCAGTTAGTCTTGGTGGACTCAGCCCTCGTTAAATGCAATAAGGGGTCAAAACTGTATTTTATTAAATGAGTTGGTTTTGCTTATGATAGGTAGTATAAAGTTATATGAATGTAATACTGAGAATAAAGTAAATTTAAACCACATTCTGCTGTTCTTCTTTAGAAACATTCCTGCGTAAATACTGCAGTAATACTGTCATGCAGAGTGTATCCTTTCTTGTTGTATCCTTTTTTGTGCAATGTTTCCCGTAGCACTTGACCTCTTCAGTTTTCTTTTAGAGTAGTTGTGGGGAGGAGTTTACACATTTTAGAGCTGGAACTAACCTGGTAACTTTAAAAAGAAAGGGCATTTCTTCAGGGGAAATAATTAATGAGTTGTCTCTGTTGCTTGAATAGACATAACGAAGTTTCCTAGTCTCAAAATGTGGCATCTACATTCTTCCTTGAACACTGTAAACTTTCTAATTTGCGATCTAATTGTGAAGCTGTGCTGGTCTCACGCTGACAATTTCGTCTTGTTTTTCTTTAATGAAATATCTGATGGTTAAAAAAAAAAAATCAGAGCAGTCCAGGAAATTCTTACAGTGTTGAGCTGTATTTTAGAGCATTTAATGACTACTGTTGTCCTAGTTTATGAAAAACAATGTGTAGTTAATTTACTTCGAACGCTTCTAATTTTTTAGAATAGAGAACAGAAAATTTAACAGTGTCTCACAATGAAGTCATAGTCTGGGAATGGAATTATTCATTGCTACTTTTCTTTCTTTCTTTTTTTAATTGTTTTCTGCATTGTGGTAATGCTTTTGCCAGTGATATATTACATTTTTCTAATTCATTTGAATACCAATTTGATATGGCTTGTTCTACCTAGACATTTTTTTCAAATGTTCTGTAGTTTTCTAAAATATTTAGCATCTTCCAATATAGCAGCAGAAAAAAAAATACTCTCTTCTGGTCATTCATACTTTTAACATGCCTTTATGATGTTCCAGGTCCCCTTTGAGTCCCATCTCTTTCAAGTATTGCCAAGCTGAGAGAAGAAGCAGTGATCATCAGGACTCTTGAACTGTGCGTAGTAGCATTTCTAAACTATTTAAGACATAAATTTACTCATCTAAAAGATTCCAGATGTCTTTAAACAGTTGCAGAATTTATCTGACAAGTGTATGCTAATTTGCTTGTAAAATCTCTAATAAATTATTCCTTTCTCTTCATTTTGCATTCTTTTATTGTTGTTGTGGGGTTTGGGAAGGAGGAGCTCACCTTTGTTTTTTGAAAGGTTAAGTAACACAGTTGCAATTAATCCAAGAACATGTTCAAGATGATTTTATGGTGGGTATATATATATATATGTGAGCATCGGAGTGAATTCTTTCTTTCTGCTTGGGGTATCCCATGTTCAGCTGTTAGAGTTTTGGGAGTAAAAAGATGAGAAAATCTGAGGATAATCTGATTTTACTGTAAATCTCTCTTAATGCTGTGGAAACCAAACAGAACCGAAAATAAGGTTGCAGGAGCTGCACTGCACAAGTAGCCACTCTTGGTTTTCCTTGCATAGTCCAGGAAAACTTCTTTTGACAATGTATGAGAACCTCTGAAGAGTTTGATGCCCAGAAGACAGAAAGGAAGAAGTTAAGGGGGAAAAAATAATTAATAAAAAGCAGAAAGCAAGATAAAATAACAAAACCCTGAGCTCTGTGGCCATTTTATTACAAATAATGTGAGAAATGTAAATAAAGCTAGGCTGTATGTTTGCTAGGGTTGTACTGATAGAGAACAAGTAAAATATTCCCTGCACTCTACTTCCATCTATCAAAGAAATTTTCTCGGCTCTGTTGAGAGAGCTGTTTTTTTAAGAAGCGGAAGCAAGCATCTTCCACACCCTTAAAGCAACTTCTTTCTTGTGTACTCATTAATTCCAATTTTTTCCTTTTTTCTTAGGAACATATTTGAGTTTTCTCATTGCTGTTTCGAGTGAAATTACCCTCTTTTTTTTTTTTTTTTTTTTTTTTTTTTTTTTTTTTTTTTTTTTTTTTTTTCTCAAGTCCTATGGGACTGCTTCCTGGATCACATGGAAGCATCAAACACAGGCCGTTTAATTAACTTAATAAAATTTTGCATGTACAGCTGACTTCTGAAGGTAATAATCGAAAATCTTTCTGTAGTCCTGTAATATGAAGAAAGAATATGAAGTCCTGTAATATGAATTAACTCCTGGATATAGCAAAGAACTTACAGTGTTGGAAACTAGAAGCGTTTGTTTATAACCTGTGCAACTTTCCAGAACTTTTGAAAGGCAGAGACAGTGAATTCTTTTTAATACTCTTCAAATTCTGAACAGACCCATGACAAGTTTACATTGATGCAAAATGGGTAACTTGTTTAGAGGGGAGGAAAAAAGAAAAGTTTGATTTATAAGGTTTCTTCTCCACTTTCAGTCTTATGGGTACTTTTTCCTCAACTCTTTTTGAGTTTTCAGGACTTCACTCTATTACAGTGAAAGTAACTTTTGGTATGGAGAAGATAATATTATTTGCAAAGAGGAGGTGGTGTCTGTCCAGAAACCAGGTAAGTTACTTAGGACACGAGTAACTTGAAAAAGCCACCCAGCTATTTAACAGATATTACATCATTTACACGAGTTACCCCTTTTATAACCTTGAAATTTGGCATTTAAAATGGCCTAATGTCAAACTGGGACTCACTTTACTATTTCCTAGGAAATTTTTGATTGTTCTAGTTTATTCCTTTAAATACACCTTCCTAGCTGATGCAAGACTAAGCAGAAAACGTTGCCATTGTAAGTAGTTGTATTGCCTGGAATAATCTGTTGTTCCCTTGCTAATTGGCAGCTCAAATCCTTCGACTGTTGCCTGAGTCTGGTCTGTGCAAGGAGACGGCTCCTTCAGGGGTTCCAGGAGGGCTAATAATTTTGTCGTCGTCCTTGCAGTGCTGGTTGGGTCCGGAGGAGAGGAACCTTATTCCAGAGATGATTTTTATCTCGGTTTAGTTTGGAGCGTGTGGCTGGGGCTGTTGCTTGGAGGAGGTGCAGCCCGCACAGGGCATGCGCTCTTCCCATCGCCCACGCTGGAGCCAGCCTTTAAAATAGAAATTACGAGCGCTGTCCAAAGCGCTGCATTAGGATGGCAGCAGGTGGTGCTGTACTCAAAGGGGAGAATGTTTTAAAAACAAAGATGCAGCCGAATGCAGCTTTGTCTGTAATGAGTGCCGTAACAGGCTTGCAATTAGCAGCGCTTTGCGATGAAGAAGCGGCGCGGCTGCCCCGGCTGGGCCTGTTCTGGCCGCGGAGCCGGCGGCAGGAAGGCGGCCACGGGCCCCATCCCGTCACGTTGTGTCCTGCCCCATCCCGGCGAGCTGCTGCCGGCATCGGCGTCGGCCGGACATGGCGCCGCGTAGGCCCCGCCGGCGCGGCCTGAGGTACGTGGGCGCCGCCGCGGGTCCCTCGTGCGCGGAGAGCCCTCCACGGCCGTCCCCGAGGTGGCTGGGTGCCTGGCGGCCCCCTTGGCGCCGGCTTTGCCCTGGGAGCCTGGGGCTCGGTGCTCCGTGAGCCTTCCCACCTGCGGAGCCGCTCGCCCTGGCGCTTGGCCGGGACTGCAGCAAAGCCTCCTGCACCCTAAACCCTCGCCTAGCCCCATCCCCGTCCTGCCCCAGCACCAGGCCGCCTGCGCACACCAACTCTTGGGAGGGAATATTTAAACAAAAGATAAAATCTGTAATTTGAAATCTCTGAATTACTGGTAAAGGTACCATCAAAAGACTCTGAAAGTGTGTGATCTATGCAAAATTATAAAGCTCGTTCTCCATGCCTTATAGCTTTTGCAATGCTTATTTGAATGCCCGATAATTCTTTATCCTCTTGAAATGAAGTAGTATTTTCAATATCTGGAAGGATCGAGGCAAAGCAGAAGCATGTTCTGACTTCGGGGGGCAGCTTGGAGCCCAAACTGAGCTTTGCTAGGAAAGTGCTGAAGGAAAGATGTGTTGACTCCGACTGTTATTTTCCCTCGGAATGTGTAATTCTTCTAAGTAAAATGTATTTTTTGTGATATTTTTGAATACTTGTTTTAAAGTACCTAGATCTGCTGCTGCTGGCTTGTAATTCTGTGTTAAATTTAAGATACTGTAGAGACTGCCTTACTGTTCCGAGTCATGTCAGTGGATTTATTTTGCCAAACAAGCAGCACTTCAGGTATGCAGAAAAGGGATGATTAAGCCCGATGTTTCCCTCCTCCTTTAAGAGCAAGTTTACGTGGAGTTACTGGCATGCCTGGAGGAGGGCAGCTGCGTGTCTAGCACAGACTGCAGGGCAGCCAAGACGGAGCCGGTTGCCAGTCCTCCCGGGTCCTCGAGGAAACCCCAGTTCTCTCCCCCATTGCTTGAATTTTAATCTCCTTTCCTATGACAATACAAAAAAAAAAAAAAAAAATGCAAATTAATAATTTCATTGAAATCACTGGTTGCAAAACAAGCTCAATTTCTCAGATGATTCAGTCTGACTAAGGCTGGTTGTCCCGAGCAGAACAGGGACAGCTGCTGGCACCAGGGTCAGGAAGCAGGAACTACACGGAATAATTTGCTGTCATTTGCACTTGAATTTGCTCCAAAGAGTGAAGCTTCCTGGCCTGCAAGACAACATTCCTCTGCATGAAATAAAAATGCGAGAGGGTTGCTTTGCACAATTCACCTAGTTTTTTATATGTATAAAACATTATGTATATTGTTTATAACCTGTGTTTTGCTAAATGTTCAAAACCTGTGTTTTGTATCACAGTAGACCAAGGTTTTCAGGGGGTACATCCTCCAATTTTTTTAATTAAACTGTGAGAGGATATCTATCTATCTATCTACAGATAGATATCTATCTATATTTTTTGCACAATGGCAAACCTGATGGCCCATGTTGGTCTCTGACCCTTCACTGCAGTGCCTGGGTTCTCCCAGGAGACCACGCACGAAATCTTGTTATTCCTTCATCGCCCTGTGTTGTCTCTGTGTTTTAGTAGTATTTGGCAAAGAGGAGCCACTTGGAAGAAAGGAAGCAGGTTTTCTGCTGTGTTATTTAGGGAAAGTTATCCAGCCTCTTGTGACATGCTGCTCGTATCTTGTAGCGCATGGTGTGATGACATTAAACTTCCCAAATATTTGAATTTTGCTGACAACTCCGTGTAAAATTCACATAACCTCCCCATGTAATTATGGGGACATTATGAAAATGCTGTTTAATTTAGAAAAAAAATAATAAAATACTATTTCATAAAAATAAAAACACTATATACTAGAGACAACCTGAACTAGACAACGCCTGAACTGTAAATTTAGATAAGCTAAGTTGCTGTTAGTGTAGGAAGTCGATATAGTTTTGATAAAGTTTCTCACACAAATGAGCGATCAAGTGAAGTTGAACAACAAGACAGCAGAGACTGGTAGTTGCTTTGGAACGTGTATTTTGTCACGTGTGTTGTATCCTCTTGCAGGAAGCTAAATGGGCAGCAAGAGCCTTAGAGCTGATCAGAGAAGACACCATGAGGCTCCGTTTTCTGGTGCTGGTTGTTGGGCTGTGCGGGGCCCAGTTCAAGCCCAACACTGGGCCCGGCAGGACCTCCATCGTGCACCTCTTCGAGTGGCGCTGGGCGGACGTCGCTCTTGAGTGCGAGCGCTTCTTGGCTCCTCACGGCTTCGGCGGCGTTCAGGTACCCTGCTGCAGACTAACAGGGAGAAAAATTGCTCCGGAGATGGTCGT